TATATATATATATATATATATATATGAGAGTAATATTTTAGATTTTAATGCTAAAATTGGCGTATGCATCTGATTAAGATTGTTACGTTCGGTGTTAAATTAAGAAGCTTTTAATTTGTCTGATATATTTTGAACCTTTTGCATAGTATGTATTTTATTTTTATGACTTTCAGGTACAAACGTAACAGACGCTTCATTACGCTTTGTCGAGAGAGACGAATATGAGGTGCGCTGCCGCCCTTGGTGCCCCTAATAAAAAGGAAGCTGCCAGTACCGTATGTAATTATTAGTTATTCCGCGACATCGGTCTGTATCACTCCATCAGATTGTGCATTCCAAGTGAGATTCCTTCAGTATTCGCATTTCAACGATTTCAATTTTGTGGATATCGGCTATAATTTTTTCGTTAGAGATGACGGCTTCGCATATGTCGGCAGGAGCTGGAACTATGTCGGTGCCCATGCCCGCGGTTATAACAGCAAAAGTATCGGCATTTCTTTCATCGGTGGATTCAATTTAACTGTACCGCCGAAACCGCAATTACGTGCCGCGCGAAAGTTCATAGAGCTCGGCGTCAAAGCCGGAAAGATCGCGCCCGACTATAAATTGTTAGTAGGTCACCGACAAGTTTCGAAAACTCTGAGTCCTGGAGATGCCTTATATAACGAAGTTAAAAAGTAGCTCCGTTGGTCACCCAAGCCCTGACCCGATAACTTAAAAGTTTAACTTATGAATGAAATACAATGTCTGAAAATATTCACATCCTGTTTCCTTTTAAATCTGTAAATGCCGCACTGCAAATCCAAGTGTGTTAGTTTTATACGCATAAAAGTCTAAAAATGAATCATTCGACTGCAGTTCTTTTTACACTTTGAGCGTTTTAAGTTACGTCATTTAACACCTTTAACCGTATTAAATTAAAAGTTAATACGTTCAATCGTGTCAAATGTTTAACGTGATTTAAAACGGCAAGAAATGTGTCAGAAGAATTTTAGTTAAATAACACATTTGCATTTGCAGTGCATCTATATATCTATGTCAGTGAGATATAATTCCAACAAGTTCAGATTAACTCATTCAGTTAACTGAATATATCGCAGGTCTTATTTTTGTTCCAAATATAAAATCTTCTTACACTCAAATACAGTGAAATATATGACAAAAAATTAGTCTGCTTTCGTAGCATCAATAAATTTAATTAGATCAAGCTAATTAGTGAATAAAGAAAGGGAATGTCACATATAAATATATATTGAGTGTAGAAGATATAAAAGGCATTGATCGAACTTTATAATAAAATTGATTTGCTGTTAAATAAATCAGTACAAAATTACCTTTTTCAAAAAAGGTAAAAAAAGACGCCAAGTACACGCGCAATGTATGTTGTAAATTTAAAAATCTTAAATGGTAGTAGCTTTATTTCTTTCTAACAAAATAATTCACAAAATTTCGTTACCTAACTCAACCCAAGTGATGATATATGTATAGTAGCTTTATTTCTCCTTAACAAAATAATTCACAAAATTGCGTTACCTAATTCAACCTAAGTGATACGTATTTCAAAAAAAGATGTGAAATCTTTAAATTGCGCCAATTGCAAAGAGAATATATACACTTTGAAAAATAATTGTGCAACTACTTTTAAAAAATAAAACAAAATTGTGTTACCTAACTCAGCCCAAGTGGTATGTATCTTTGTATTCCTGAGAGTCTTTCTATCAACCCAAGTGGTAGTAGTTTTAATTCTCCTTGATAAAATTATAATATTACAAAGAATTATTTTAATCACAAAAAATTAAAGAAGTAACATTATAAAATAAAAATATTTAATTAAAATTAAATAAATAAATTTTTCTTGTAAAAAACTTGGCGCTGCTTTTTTAAGATTTAGAATCTTTGCACAAGACTTTCGTATGGCAACGTAGTGTAACGAAACGTGGGTCAACGCACAAGAAACGTATCGGTTACGGCGTTAATTTGACCTTAAAAAAGCAGCGCCAAGTTTTTTACAAGAAAAATTTATTTATTTTATTTTAATTAAATATTTTTATTTTATAATGTTACCTCTTTAATTCTTTGTGATTAAAATAATTCTTTGTAATATTATAATTTTATCAAGGAGAATTAAACTACTACCACTTGGGTTGATAGAAAGACTCTCAGGAATACAAAGATACATACCACTTGGGCTGAGTTAGGTAACACAATTTTGTTTTATTTTTTAAAAGTAGTTGCACAACAATTATTTTTTAAAGTATATATATTTTCTTTGCAATTAGCGCAATTTAAA